TATTCTATTCTATTCTATTCTATTCTATTCTATTCTATTCTATTCTAATCTATTCTATTCTACTCTACTCTACTCTACTCTACTCTAATGTCAAGAATGAGAAGTAAAGAAATGTAATCCAGGCTTCTTAAAAAAATCTACAAAGGGTTTTATGCTTTTGCAGAAGAGAACAGAAGAGAGAGAGAGCTTAGAAATGAAAAAGACCTTTGTTGCTTAGTTCAACTTGTTAGAAGATTCTAAATAAGAGATCTAAGCCGCTGAGCTTTATGCAAGTAAAGAAAGTGTCCATGAATTTTGTGTGTGGGAAATCCCCTTACTGGTAAAACATTCTAACAAAATGGAGAGAGTAGGGTGCCCTTTTTTTTACAGATTTATACGGTGCTATGCAAGAGAAAAAATATAAATATTTAAATCCAGGAAAGAATAGGTAGAGAGGTGTGCCTGCTTTAACCCTGTTACAGAAGCATAGCCAGTTTGGCCTAGTTAAGTGAGTTCAAATCCCGCTTTAGCCACGAAAGCCAGTTGGATGACTTCGGGCCGTTCACTGTCTCTCAGCCCACCTCACTACACAGTTTGTTGTGGGGAAAATAGGAGGAGGAAGGAGCTCCTTCACCCTTATCAGAATAATAAAGGTGGGATATAAATAAATAAACTTATGACCGAAATGCCCAAGTATTTCAGGTTATGCAATTTAGAGTATCAGCAGAGAAAGGGAAAGAAAGGTCGACTACTTAGAAGTCAATTCCACTTCTTTAGAAGTGGATTTGTCTCTCTCTCTCTCTCAACAATCATTCAGCAACTTTTTACTGGGATGTAACTGAAGAAGTGATAAAGTTCCCTATACATTAAGAATTGGTTTCCAAGTATGTCTTTTCCCATCTTGGACATTTTTTTTTGTTTACTGTCATGTTTTGTTTTGAAAGATTGTGAATATAATGTTAGGGACTGTCTTTTTATTGAGTTAGAAGCTGCACTGGGAGTCTTTCTAGCCGGGATGTACTTTTCTAAAAATCACCTGAGTTTCTTGCTTGGAACTAAAAGCTAAACAAAAACGAAGAAAATCCATCCTTTGCCACTCTTTAGCTACAGAGAAGGGAGGCGGTGGAAGTCCCCACAGTTTAGATGCCTCCATATGTTTCAACTGTTTTCCACCTACCACTGAATGAATTAAGGAATATAGAAGAAAATGAGAATAAATAGCCTCGGGAAAATCCCAATTAATTTTCTGGCCTCAGGGCTCACTTACAATTAATTTAGGACTAGTTTGGTCTAGTGATTATGGCCCCAGGCCAGAAAGCAGGAGGTGGTGAGTTCTAGCCTTGCCTTAGCCATGAAAGCTGGCTGGGTGAGCTGTGTCTAGTCACTCTCTCTCTCAGCCCAACTTCTCATAGGCCTGTTGTTGTGAGGAACATAAGGGGAGGAAGATGTGTTAAATATGCCCACCATCTGAAGTTATTTGTAAAAATCATCAGGCAGGACACAAATAAAGTGAAGAGGAGGCATACTGGGAGCTTAAACCCAGCAGTTTAAATCAAATGTGAACCTATAATTGAGAAGGATTTCTACCTCATCTTTGGGGTAGAAACCAAGAATCCATTTTCCACTGCTTCTTTTAGAACAAGCAATATAGGTAGTTCTTGACTTACAATGGTTCATTTTGTGACCAAAGTTACAATGGCACTGAAAAAAAGAGACTTATGACTGTTTTTCACACTTACGCCTGCTGCAATATCCCCATGGTCATCTGATCAAAACTCGGGCGCTTCGCAACTGACTCATATTTATGACAGTTGCAGTGTCCCAAGTTCATATGATCACCTTCTGACAAAGTCAGTGGGGAAGCAGATTCATTTAACAACCAGGTTACTAACTCATCAACTGCAGGGATTCACTTAACAACTCTGGCAAGCTAGGTTGTAAAATGGGGCAAAACTCACCTAACCATAGAAATGCTGGGGTCAGTTGTAGTCGTAAGTTGAGCATTACCTGTACAGTTTGGGCAGAAAGCATTTGCACTCAGATATAAAAACTGATGCACAAAAACACTCAAAATATGTGGTTGCCTGATCTCCAAATGAAGCAAATATGGAAAATGGTGTCTTGCTTTGGTAATGTTGTGTTAATTAGAAAGACCCATGATGTAACAAAAGGCCCAGTTTAGCCAAAAGATTCAGAGATGCCATAAAGGAAGAAAGGAAAATAAATGGTTTATATTTTTACTGACTCTGCCCTAAGTTAGGAAATCTCAGTGCTGTTGTGAGAAATGCAAAAAGAAATACTGTATTATCACAATTGTGATGAGATGGGCAGAAAACTATTAGTATTATATCTATATCTGTATCTATATCTATATATATAAAAGCAAAATACCATTCACACGTCATAAAATCTCTAGAACCATAAAGCCTACTAACTTGAAATTTGGCATATATGTTCCTCTGGACTTCAAGCTGCTCACTAAGAAAGGATTTTTCAAAATA